CATTCACTACAGATGCCATCAAAAAACTTCTGCTGCTTCGCTTCTGATGCCTTTTCACATTAAGGTCAGCCGTCCAGATGCTTCTGCTGCTCCTGTGTTCAATGCAGAGAGCAGCTTTGCTATATTAGCTGTGATCAGCGGGTAAAAAGTAGTTAGAATCTATGTTGAAGTGAGAAAGTCCTCCTGAAAACATGGTCTGTGCAGTCAGTTCATCCAGATTACCATCCTGCCTTCAAAGATTATTTCTTTTTTTTTATTCTTTTTTTCTTAAAAGAAAAGAATTAAAGAAAAGAAAAAAAGAGAGAAAAAGAAAAAGGCCATTTCTCAAGTCACCACAATGCGAGTGCGAACTTGTGTCCTCGCCAAGTCTGTTCTTGAGAAGAACCCAGGAAAGTCTGGACTCTGGGAGAACGGGAGCACGCAGCATAAATCTAGGTCTACTGGAACAGAAGCGTACTGATGACATCACCACATTCAAAACTCGTCTGGAGCTGCATTTCACCTCCTGATATTAATAGTCTCTAGATAATAATAAATTATGACTTTTATCATTTAGTGGGGGAATAATAATGAACACAGATAGATAAACATAAATCAATGAACATTTTGCCAAGTAAAACAAAATAATTATTGTTAATAAACTGCTTCAGAGGAGTGATCACAGCGCTCTGCATCAGCAGTGCTGCGTCTGACTCCCTGCCAGCTCCTCTGATTGGTTGATGCAGCGCGTCCAGCAGATAAAGTTCAATGTTTCCAACTCCAGCAGCTGCTGCTTCTCACATTTTGAACACTGGAGTGAAATTTACCAAACACAGGGCTTATAATTTCTAATATTTGTAGTAAAGTGCGTACAGTGTACGCCCGTACGCATTGCTGGCTAAAAGCAATGCGTGAAATTCTAACTTCATCTGAGTGGCAGAAATGGGCTTCCATATGTATATCGTGGAGGATGACATGTATAAGAAGTCTTTAAATAGCCTTAGTTATAAAATCATTTTAGGTGGTCTTTGATATGGAAAATCCCTTCTTTTAATTGGTTTTAAAAGGAGACAGAGATTAGATGGATGATAGATAGAATGGATCAGGCTTCTTCCTGCTCTTATGATTTCAGACTCGTCAGAAGCCATCAAGCAGCCCTGACCCACCAGGTACCAGAGACTGGTTTGATTGGGAGACATTAGCAGAATGTTCTGCCATATTGCTTTATTTGGGTTAACATTCCTCACATGCAGCCTGGTTATGGTTGCAGCTGCCTGCTTCTCTCATCTGGTTCTCTAACATCGGGTTCCTTCCCTTTGCAGAGGCGTTTCACCCTCAGATGAACTGGGTTTATTAGTGGTTTTTCAGCAGGGTCCCTGCTGGTGCCATGTTGAAAAGCAGCCATTAGTTATGAATATAGTGGCACCTGTTCCTCTGTCTGCTTCTGGTGTTTCATTAATGGCAGGAGGTGGTGTCGCTCTTCAGCTACGCTTATGCTTGTTTTTTACTTATTTCACTCTGTCCTCTATGGAAGAGGATTAGGGCCACTGAGGAAAAAAAGTGAACTGATTTTTAAATGTTATTTCAGTTTAATATGGGAAAAAAGTCTCGATTCTGACTTTAATCCCAGAATTCTAACTTTAATCTCAGAATTCTGATTTTAATCTCAGAATTTTGATTTTTTTTTTTGAAAGTTCTGACTTTTAATCTCAGAGTTCATTTTTTTTTTCTTAGAATTCTTAATTTAATCTCAGATTTCTGATTTTTTATCTCAGAATTATGACTTTTTCTCAAAATTATGACTTTTTTTCTAAGAATTCTGACTTCAATCTCAGAATTCTGAATTTAATCTCAGAATTTTTTTTTTTGCGAGTTCTGATTTTAATCTCAGAGTTCATTTTTTTTTTTCTTAGAATTCTTACTGTAATCCCAGAGTTCTTACTTTAATCTCAGAATTCTGATTTTTTATCTCAGAATTATGACTTTTTTTCTAAGAATTCTGTCTAAAAATCTCAGAATTCTGAATTTAATCTCAGAATTATTATTTTTTTTTTTTTGAAAGTTCTGACTTTAATCTCAGAGTTCATTTTTTTTTTTCTTAGAATTCTTACTGTAATTCCAGAATTCTTACTTTAATCTCAAAATTCCGACTTTAATTCTTTGTAAGCCAAAACAAGGCTTTGCTGGTCCACTCTATAAAGCTTTAAACTCAACACTATTTCTGACATTTTAAATTGAAAAAGCTTCCTGGATGGAAGAGAAACGTCTTTAAACTTTGAAGCGAAGTCCATTAGGTTGTTTTTTGGAATGACTATAACCTGGATGACTGAGAACCTTGACCAGCAATAGTGATGGTGGCCCCTGGAAGTAAATATGGGGCCTCATGTCCCCCCAGCTGCTGGTGTCTAGTTTCCCCGTCCTTTAACTGTTTCTTCCCCTATAGTTCTAGAATAAACATCTTTAGGAACCTGCTGGAGCATGGAACAGATTTTAAACATGATTAAAACCTCTTGGTTATTCTCAGCAGGCGGATGATAACCGCTAGCTAACGCTAAAGTCATGTATCATGGGGTCGTAGGGTCAGCTCCTTGTGTTACTTCCAGCTGCCTGCTGAAGCTAGGAGAATATATTTAGCTACAGAAACGGTCGCCTCTGGAAACTGGAGATGTTTTTTTCTTTTCTTAATTCTGTTCTGGTTAACCGTCAGAATGGGCCGTCTGTCTTCAGAGCTTTGATTGCCGTAGATGAGAGCTGGAACTACGTTTGCTTCACTTGATGAATCACCATCATTTATCACATTTAGTGTTTTTTCTGTTTACCATGCTGCACCAGGAATGATGTAGCTATCCACTGTCACAGATCATTTCTTATTGGTGAGATGTTAGCCTAATATTCTCATCGACATCTAAGAAGTATAAAAGGTGTAAAGTCTCCTTGACGTTTTCTATTTTAAGAACACATTAAATAAATACTTTTATGTTGCTAAGTTGCTTTTTTTTGCTCTTACTGATAGTCAATAAGGACCAAATAAGCTACTCTGGTAGCTATGGCTTAGCATTAGCTTAGCATCAGCACAGTCTGTGTTCTTGCCTGACTTGATGACCCAGGCTAACATTAGCTAAGACTTGGCCTATTCGCATCTGCTTAGCATGAGCACATTAGCTCCTTACTTGACAAGAAAGTCCAAGCTAAAACCTAAACCTTAGCTTAACTTTAGCTTAGCATCAGCGAGGGGCTCCTTTGCTTCCCCATTGGTCAAGTCTAACAATAATGTTTAGCTTAGTGTTAGACTTGATGGTTCAGGCTAACCCTGATGGTTAGCGTATCATATGCTCAGTGTTGTGTTCTTGCCTGAATTAATGACGTATGCTTAGCATCAGCACAATAGCTACTTGTTTGACTAGAATTTTTCAG